TTGTTAGTATTCGTCTTAGTGGTATTATTATTAGTGATATGAATATTCTTCTTCGCACGATTGATCTTATACTATTAAAATGTTCATTGTTACTATTCGTGGTATTATTATAATTCGTGGGTTCGCGTTTTGTTCGCATTCGTACAGTCATTATTGGTATTACTATGATTGTTCGTTGTCGTGTAATTCTTCTTCGTAGTAGTTTTATTATGTGTATCAATCGCATCCGTTCCTCCCCCTCCCCCCAATCTCCTGGCACGCTTGCTTCCACATTACGCATCATCATCACCATCATCATCATCATCAGAATCAGAATCAGCATCATCATCATCAGCATCATCATCATCATCATCATCATCATCATCATCAGCATCATCATCAGCATCATCATCAGCAGCATCGTCAGCATCAGCATCATCATCATCAGCATCATCATCATCATCATCATCATCATCATCATCATCATCATCATCATCAGCATCGTCATCATAAGTATCAGCATCACCATCATCACCATCACCACCATCGTCATCCTCATCAGAATCGTCAGCATCAGCATCATCATCATCAGCAGCATCATCATCATCATCATCATCAGCATCGTCAGCATCATCATCATCAGCATTAGCATCATCATCACCATCGCAATCATCCGCATCACCATCATCAAAGGCAGCATCATGATCATCATGATGATCATCATTATTATCATCATCATCATCATCATCATCATCATCATCATCATCGTCATCATCAGCAGAATCATCAGCATCATCATCGACATCCACATCAAAATCAGCATCACCATCAGCAACCTCATCATCAGCATCATCATCAGCGTCATCATCATCAGTGTCGTCATCATCATCTCCATCATCATCATCGTCATCATCAGCATCAGCATCAGCATCATCAGCATCAGCATCATCACCATCATCATCAGCAGCATCGTCATCATCCTCATCATCATCAGCAGCAGCGTCATCAACATCACCATCGTAGCCATTATCATCATCAGCAGCATCAGCGTCATCATCAGCTTCATCAACATCATCAGAATCAGCATCATCGCCACCACCATCACCAAATCATCACCATCAGCATGACCATCACCGTCGACTTCGTCGTCGTCGACATCGTCATCGCTATCATCAGCATCATCAGCATCATCATCACCACCATCATCATCAGCAGCCTTGTCGTCATCAGCACACGCAGCATCAGCAGCAGCAGGATCATCAGCAGCAGCTTCATCATCCTCATCAACGGCAGCAACATCATAAGCAGTATCAGCATCATCGGCACTATCAGCATCATCATCACCAGCATCATCATCATCATCATCATCACCACCAGCAGCATCATCAGCAGCATCATCATCATGATCAGCATCATCAGCATCATCAACATCATCAGCATGAACGTTGTCATGAGCAGCAGAAAGACCATCACCATCCACATCATCAGCATAACCAGCATCAGCAGCGTCAGCATCTTTAGCATAAGCGGCATCGGCATCATCAGCATCATCATCAACAGGATCATCAGCACCATTCGCATCATCAGCATCATCACCATCATCAACATCAGCACCATCGCCATCAACATCATCATCAGCAGCAGCAGCCTCATCATCATCAGCAGCATCATCATCAGCAGCATCAACAGAAGCATTCCTAATCAGAACCAGCATCATCATCCTCAGCACCGTGATCTTCATCCTCATCAACGTCATGATCATCGTCGTCGTCATCGTCGTCATCGTAACCACCGTTTCCAAGTCCGTGCTAATCATGAATGGGAGGGCCTCTTTTTACGTGGGTTATTCTATATCCAATGAAGGTGACGCAATCAACACGCAGCGAGAGCCCCTGGGACACCACGGCCCCCAGGATGCACGGAAAGCTTTCGACCGCAACCCGAGCCACGGCGGTGTTGAAACAGCGCGGGGGTCGAGGAGTAAGCAGCAGGCGCGGTCTCGGTGAAGATGGCAGCCCGCTTGCGGGCGTTCCATCTTGATCAAGACCTGCCCACGGCCGACTCCAGGAGGCAAGGGATGGAAGGGCAGCAGATTAACCGATGACGCGGCGATGGATGTGGCGGGCTCTGGCTGGCGCCCCATCTTGGCGACGGCTCTCAGCCGTCGCATCTTCAAAGCGGGGCTAGATATTATATGGCTTGGCATTGCGCCGCGAGAAGACTTGAGAAAAAAAAATGCGGACATGATTGCAACACAGACCCGAGGCATCCCAGTCAAACCTGTGCACGCACACCAATTACTGGGAGGGCCTCGTTTTACGTGGGTCATTCTATCTCAGATGAAAGCGACGCAGTCAACACGCAGCGAGAGCCCCTGGGACACCACGGCTCCCAGGAGGCACAGAAAGCTTTCGACCACAACCCATAGCACGAGGGCTCGGGCATCCCAAAACACGGAGGGTGACCCCATCTTGGCCCAGGCCAGATGCCAGAGGGTCCGTGCGGGTTCTGTCAGGATTCGAGCAAGCAGACGGCACAGCTTCGGGGGGTAGGGTTGAGCGATGGCTGCCCATCTCTTCCCGTTGGGCCCACCCCCCGTTAGATGGGAATGTGCTACGCCAGTGCAAGCACACAAAACTTGTTTACCTGTACACCTCAGTATCGCGAGCTTGTCTAAGTCTCGGGCACACACACTACAAAAAAATATTCGAGCCCTCTTTCTCCAGGGGGTCCCCATCATACAGAAATCGCAAACCACTTCATCAACACACGGTAAGGCACGAACGTTCTGGACCTGGGGCGTCATTCTGCTGGCAAGCGGGTTTTCCCAGGCCCAGGGCACCGAAAACACGCTTAAACCACGAATTCTGGAGAGTGGCTCGAAGGCAACTGTTGCCCCCATATACTTTCTGCTGCTCGTTTTCAGGCAAGTCGAGCAAGCCCCACGGCAAGGTTCGGTTTCGGACCATGCGAGCCCGATCGCGGGCGATGGAAAAACTGGGACAGGGCGGGGCCAAATAACCAGCTATGACCTCACCATCGCGGATCATATTCTTGATAATTCTGACATGTTTAGTTATGGCCAAGTCGTAGGCCTCTTCAAACTCCCGATCCCACTCTACTGCCTTGAAGCCTTCCGATCTCATTGCCCTGTCGACACCACAGGAGCCTGAAAACAAATCCAAGAACACTGCTTCTCTGACGGCTGCGGAGGCGAGCCGCCGGCTCTCATTCCTAGGACGAACTCCCCAGCGCGTGCCTCGTAATTTCTGAACCACTTCTGACCGGCCTCGGAGCGCTCCGCCACCTGCATGAACACGCGCCCGTGCTTCTCGTATCACACCAGGATCTTCGTCGTGGCCCCGCGACCTTTTCTCCTGGATATGCTGCGACGTGCGAATCCCCCCTTGCCCGCCCCAGCCTGGCCCCGAGTGGTGCACGTGGCAAGGCACCCCGCGTGCGCCGATCAGCTTCGACGCGACTCTGACGGACCTCATCACACGGAGGTAGTCCAGCGCCCATTGCGGCTGAACTCGGGGCTGCTGGCGCGGCACCCCGAACGGCGAGCTCACGGGAAGAGGGCACGTCGCGCCCCAGAGCAGGCCGTCGTCGAAGGCGCCCACCGCGGTCGGCACCTCCCTGTCCTCTGGCGTCACCAGAGAGCCCCAATGGTCTGACAGCCCCACGAAATGAATCAGCAGCTGGTCGGCGCCCTCGGCGCCGCGGGCGGTCAGCTCCCGCCTCCGCGCGGAGTCCAGCGCGATCCTGACGCGGCGCCCGTAGTCGCCCATGACCATGGGCGCCTCGCTCTTCCTCCCCAGGTAGGCGAAACCCCGCTTCGGACCCAGGTTCGAACCTTTCTCCCGACTCCTCGTCTTGCTCGGCCCAGGCTTCTCCGACTGGAGCTGCCCCCGCTGCCCCCCCCCGACTCGAGCTCGACCGAAGGCCTGTCCCCGTCGATCTCCTCAAGGCCCCCTGCAAGCCTCGCCGGCCTGCAGCGCAGCCTGGAGGTCTGCGGGCTGAGGGCCGCGGACTCGGCCAGCACCCTCCGGCAGCAGCCGGCAGCCTGCCCCGTCGCCCGCAGGCGCGGCGGCAGCGCAGCAGCGGCGGCGGTCAGCACTCGCGAGCGGCTGCTCGACAACTGCTGCCGGGCGCCGCTGGGCTGCGCCTGCCCGGCCAATCACCGCGGCCCGCCACCCCGCCGAAGAGGTCGCGAGGGCCTCAGCTCGAAGCTCGAGCCCAGGCGGCGGCGGCAGATGGAGGGGGCCAGCCTTCGAGCCCCTGGGGGGTTCATCAGCGACGTTCCACCCCGATGGAGTCCATTTAATAGCTGGTCGAATCTCTCCCGCAAGACAGATCGCATACCACTTTGCCTCCTGAGTCAGCATTGCAAAATCTCGAGCCCGACACCGCTCGAACGCCAGCACCACCCCCAGGTTGCCCCCCAGGCGCAGCTTGCGGACGCCAGCTCCAGGCCTGGCACGCGCACCCCTGCGCAGCATGGCCACCGCCGCACGGGCCCCCAACATGGCTGCGCGCTCCGCTGCCCGCCGGCGGCCTCGAAGGATGACGCGCCATTTTTCCTTGTCCAATAGCCGCTTGGGGGCGCCCGGGAAATCCGCGACCTCCCCGAAGGCCTCGCCGGGCAGGTCAGCGTCAACATCATCGAAGCATCCCCGGCCCGCCCGCTGCGAGGCATGGTTTCTGGCGGAGGCGGAAGTGAGGCGATGCCTCGACCTCCGGGCGCTCGCCCGCGCAGCGCGGCGGCCTCGGCCCCCCGCCAGGTAGAGCAGCTCCAGCTCCCCCAACCAGCCTCGCCGGCGTCGCCGGCGCCGACCACCACGCTCCAGGGAAGCTCCCAGGAGGCAATCAGCGGCGGCATGAGGCCCAGAAAGGCAGCGAACTCGGCTCTCACCGAGGCTCACATGGCCAGCGGGGCGCGCCTGCGCGAACTCATACACGGCGTGGAACACGGAGAAGGTCTGGCGAACCAACTAACCAACACTCGCACAGTGGCCCACGAAGACCTCTACCTGGTGCGTCGAGACCTTCCGCCTTGCCAGCAGCCAGCGCAAGCCTGCATTCAGCCGCCAGGAGCGGGTCGCCGCGAGCCGCGACTTCCGCTTCTCGGCGTCGAGCCTCGACGCCTCGTCTGTCCATGACCAGCGGCCCCTTCCAAGCGGTCGCGCACACGCGCCCGCGCAGCCGGCAACCCCGCGACTGCGATCCGCATCCAGCACGTCCAGGTTGTCGACGCACACGCAGTGCGCCGTCGGCTCCTCCGCGCCCAGCACCGCCGGCCCACGGCGATCCGCCGCCGACGGTTGCAGCTCCAGCCCAGGCCCCTGCGCCGCGTGGCACTCGTTCACGCACTGCGCCACGACGAGGCTCCAGCTGAAACCCTTCCAGCCGCGCGCTCGCCCCAGTAGCCCAGCAGCCCGCGCCGGCGGCGGCGGCAACGCGAAGTACTCGGCGAGCTCCTCCCGCATCCTCAAGCGGTGGAAGCAGTCAGCCACGTCCGCCTGGGCCAGGCACACGTCGTCGGCCCCCGCCTGGAGCTCGATGCGCCCGAGCCCCTCGGCCGTGCACAGCTGCGCCCCTGGCGGTGGCTTGAACAGCCTGGTCACAGGTCTCGCATCTTAGGTGCTTCTCGTCCAACGCATCAGTCCCTTCTGATCCAGCTGGCGAAAGAACCTCCTGTAGAGCCTCGGCGACGACTCCAGGCGGCGGTCCAGGCACGGCTTAACAGCCCCAAATTTCTGGTCGAGCTCACCCACCTCCCCGGGACTCGGCCGATTACGCTCGATGAACCTATCGAGCAAGTCGCGGGCGCGCGTGCCCCCTGTCACGTCAGCATACCTCGCGTCACGGACGTCGTCGGGGAGCGACACCTTGCCCTCCTCGCAGGGTGTCACAGTCATGCGCGCCTGCTCGTACTGAAATGCTCCTTTCGTTAGGACCCACCAGTCTCATGCGCGACCCGCACCCGCTGGCGGCCCCGGGCACGGTCGCCTCGATCACTTCCTTCCTCCTTCGGCATTGGTCTTTCCGCTCTCGGTCTTGCCTCGGAGCTCCTTGACATTCTGCCGCTGCTTCTCAACCTCGGTATCCCCCTTCGCCTTGCGAGCCGCGAAGTTCTTCAAATCAGGCGACACAGCATTGGACGAGCTCTTGAACCCCGAGAAGTACTTCGCGTTCTCAAAGCAGGGCTTGCTCGGGTTTTTCTCATCTGCATCCACGAGAGCCTGCACTCGCAGGCAGCGGAGTTCGGAGAAACCAGCGACCCGAGGTTGACTTGGTCGTAGCTCCCAGCATACTCCAAAGCATCGATGATGGTCCTGAGTTCGTAGTACACGAGGTCGCTCACCGCGATGTTCTTGCTCTGAGACCACTTGTCCAACCATCCTGAAGGCACCCGTCCTGCCCGCTCCACGCGCGCGCAGAAGTGCACGGCCGCGGGAGGGTCGTCGAGCGGCCAGCCTTGCACCTCTTCCCCTGCGCGTCGAAGTCGACGGCCCGGAGTCCGCACGTCGCTGTCGTTGCTGACGGCGGGGCCGGGCGATCCTCGATGGGAGCCGTTGGGCCTGGCCGCAAGCGCGTCCAGGCCGCCGTCCGCGCGAGGCGTGCCAGTGCCAGCAGCCGCCTCTGCCTCGCCCATGGTCTCGCCAGGCTCGGGGGCCACAGCTCCTGGACGACGCGACCGTTCACGGAAGGCCTCCCGCTCGTGCGCCGAGAGAGCCAGCACCTTCGTCCAGCCGTTCCCGTCCATCACGAGCGCCTCTGCAACTCCCCCCACCAGCACGTCCCCCTCGCCGACCGATGCGCTCCCAGCCGACCGAGAGGTCGACAATCGTCCACGCAGTGCAGTCGGGAGCCAGCGCCCGCGGCCCAGCCAGCGTCAGCCCAGCGGGCAGGCGATCCGCCTCTGGCACAGCCGCCCCGGCCTCGGCCTCAGCAACAGGTGCCGCGGGCGCCGCGGCAATGCCATCCAGCAGAGCGTTGATCGGCCGCTCGCGCCTGCCCAGGCTGACGTAGCTAGTGAAAATTGCGGCAGCTCGTGCCCGTCGGCCTCCAGCACACCCTCATCGCGCGCCTCGCCAACCAGCACTCGCAGCTCCCGTGTGCCAGCATACTCTCTGAAGCGAAAGACACCTCGCGCAGTCCTGCAAGTACCACGCCACCTCGAAGCCCGCGTGTCCGAGCAGGTCCGTCGGCACAGCCAGCCACGCTCTCAGCGTAGACGTGGCCATCGAGCAAAAATCATCCAGGTCCCGACTGCCGCCATCGGCCAAAAGCACATCCTCTCGTGCCGCACCGTGTCGTCCTCGTACCAAGCCAGGTAGAGCTCTCCTGGCCGCAGGCGGTTCCAGGACTCCCGCTCCTCCGCGCCGGCTGCTGTGATCGCCATCACGTCGACCACGCCACGACCTTCCCACTAGGAACGCGGTGTTCAGCACCGAAGCCACGCAGCCCAACACCGCAAGCCAGCCTGCCTCCGACGGGGCCTCGGCGCCGTCGGCGTCGCACACTCCGCCGCCAGCCAACCAGGTCGGCTCCGCGGGCGGGCAGACGCAGCTAGGGCAGGGCGGACACTCTGGCCCGGGGTCGCAGCCACCAGGGCAATGGATCTGAGGCGGGTGGGTGAGGAGCGGCCTCACCACCGTTTCAAAAAAAAGCAACGACGACCGCCCCTGTGCTGGCGGCCTGGCCGGGATTCATCTCACGAGAAGACTTGAGAAAAACAGTTGCGGATATGATTGCAACACCGGGAACACAATCGCAAACACTAGCATCACCTTTATTCCCACCACCACATGCAACATCGCCGTCATCGCCATCAGCATCACCGTCCGCATTATCATTATCACCATCATCCTCGTCATGTTCATCATCGCCTAAACCTATTAGCGTCAAGCATCCTTCTCCTCACCCTCATCCTTTGAACTTTCCCCCTCCCTAGTCTCTCCTCTCCTCCTCCATCCCTCCTTTTTATAGATAACCCCTCCCAGTCATACCACCCGGCCTGCCGTCAGGGCGAGCTGTGCGTTTCCCCTGAGATTTCCTCACTGTTTAAGATGTTGACGTCGGAAATCCCGAGCAGTTACACGGATGGGGGCGAACCAGTTTCAAAATTGAGCTCTCGCCTTGGCGACGTGCACACTCGCCCTCAAAGCCAACAGTTACACGGACGAAGGGCGGATGGTTTTGAACATGCTGCCGCACGCACTCATCTCAAACAGATCCAAAGTTACACGGATTGAGCGCGAATCGTGTTCAAAATGGCGGTCTCTAACTGACGCCGCGCCGACAGCTCCACGACTGGAGGGCGGGTCCGGTTCCAAAACGGGGCTCGCGCCCGAGACTAGTTGCCGCTGCCGCGGCAAGAAGTTCAAAGCTGTGCGACGGCTAAAAGGACGGAGGGCGGTTCCTTCTCAAAGTGGGGCTGTCGCCTGGCCCTTCCTCTGACGTTATGTTCCCAGCTGGCCAGGCTGCCTGTTCCCTGACTGCTCGGCAGATGGAGGACCGCTGCTTCGCAACAAGGAGCTCCCCCTGAATGGTAGACCAACGGGGCGCTCGTCTGTCGAGGGGGTCGCTTCCCAGAGTGGAACTGGATACCTCTGCGTGGAGACTAGGGAGCAGACTTGGGACAAAAGGGTGTGCTGCAGTATCGCTGATACATCTTGAACATGTTCTGGTCCTCCTCCTCCTCCTCCTCCTCCTCCTCCTCCTCCTCCTCCTCCTCCTCCTCCTCCTCCTCCTCCTCCTCCTCCTCCTCCTCCCCTCCTCCTCCACCTCCTCCTCCACCTCCTCCTCCTCCTCCTCCTCCTCCTC